TTTTTCATTAGTGTATTAAAAGTAATATAGGAAAAAAATGAATAAACAAATTGCTTGTGATCAAACACTAAAGAGTGTTGCTTTTAATCTTGAAGATATATATGGTAGTACGTGTACTATATATACTTATGTATGGACTATTACCTCACAAGTAAATATTTTAGTATATTTTTAACTAAATTTTCATTTTAAGAATTCTTAACAAATAATATCGTTATTATCTTTATACATATGCATATAAGTATTTTAAGTCAGTGTAATATACGAATCAGACAATATATAATAATATAATAAAATATATATAATAAAATAAAATATATTAATAATATAATAAAATGCATAAAATAAGTAAATTCCTTTTTTTTTTCTAAAAAGTGGACATAATCTTTGTTCTGCGCAGTTTTTTTTTTGTGGTAAGTCCGCAATGTTCATATTTTTGATATTTCTGTTAGAAGTCTAGTACGTATACCTAATATTGCATTACTAGAAAAAATATAGATTTTCTTTTAAATATTATAATTAAGTAACACCAAAAGTATTACTTTTTCTAATATGAGTAACTACCGTAAGACCACGTTTACGAGGTCTAGCATATTAAAGAACTATTAATAAAAATTTAAGTCCGTGTTTAATAGGGAAAATAAATTATACAAAAATTAATTTAAAAGTAATTACAAGAATTCTGACGGGGACTGTGGGTTAAACAATCATATTTCAAATTAGGGGCTCTACTTACACTACTAGAACTTGTAGGTTTTATAGCGAAGAAAATAAAAACTCGAAACACAAACTAAGGCACTGTCGTATAAATCAAAGAAGTAACTGCATAAGGCAAATCATATCGGATGAAGAAATAAAACTGTGAAATGTAGGTTTAATATCACAATATATAGGGGTAGTTGGATTTGAAGAAATACTCTTAATATATGACGGGATATAATTAGATCTTTAGGTCACAGTGCAGGTCATTTAATATAATAATAACAAGCTATTTAACTCATATATTACTCTTCTATAGAATTGCTATTAGTGAATATTAGATCTCGAATATTTTTATTGTACTAGATATGACTAAATTTATAAAAGTTTATAATATTTTTATTTTAAAAGTTCTCCACATTTCCGGTTTATTTTTATTAGTAGATCAAGGTACAATTATTTCTAGTGCTTTTAATTAATTTTGTAATATTAA